CTCTCATTGTGGATGTTGTTTCTGACTCTCTCATACGCCTACAATACAACAATATAGAGATAGTATACACAAACAAACTTCAACAAACTTCAAATATTGAAGAATTTGTATGTCGGCCTGTGTCATAGAACTCTAACTGCTATATTGTAGACGTATACGAGAGTGAGAAGCAGGATCCACAATGGGAGAATGTGGACGTGGCATAATCGATGTAATTGATGTTATTTTTTAAATTTGTGAAAGATGTTTTATAACGGAAACAATTGCCGTTGGCATCGGTTATCATCCAACACTACAAGAAAGCTATAGTCTTTTCCGCACACACTAATACTATTAGATTATTGTATCAATAATTTGATACAATAATCCAATATTTTTGGCGGTGTGTGAAAAAGACTGCAGCTTCCTTGCAGTGTTGGAAGATTGTTAAACGTTAAGAACCCTGTAAACGACGCCAACTGCGATTGTCTCCATTATAGAACATCCTTCTGCTGATGTAATTTAACTTATTTTAATTGATATTTTAACTTAAGGATTAAGGTGCCTACGTATTAGTGGTGTGTCAAAAAGTCCAAGTACTTTTTGTTAATTTACTTACAGCTCAAGAAATAATGATCAAAGCAATAGCATCAATTACACCAATGATGCCACGCACAAAATCTCCGTTGTGGAACTGGCGTCGCACTCTCTAATACGTCTACAATATAGCAATGGAGATTGTGGGCGGGGCAAAATTGGAATAATTGATATTATTGCCTGAATTTCTGAACAATGTTTTCTAGAGGCAAATTAATTCTTGTTAAGTTAAGATACTGCGATTGTCTCCATTATAGAACATCCTTCTATTGATGTAATTTAACTTATTTTAATTGATATTTTAACTTGTGAAAAAGTCAAAGTACTTTTTTTTTTTAAAATTTATTTACAGCTCAAAAAATTCCAAAAGTGGACCAAATAATGATCAAAACAATAACATCAATTACGCCAATAATGCCACGGCCACAGTCTCCCTTGTAGAACCTGCGTCGCACTGTCTCGTACAGCTACAATACAGCAATGGAGACTGTGGTCGAGGCATAATTGGAATAATTGATATTATTGCCTCAATTTCTGAACAATGTTTTCTACAGGAAAATTAATTCTTGTTAGGTTTAGATATTTTAAAGTTGATATATATAAAAAAAATATTGGACTTGAGCTTAATTGACATTTATTAAGTTAAATATCATATAACTTGAACTTTTTTTTTGTTTTGGAAAAAAATTGATATTTTAACTTATAAATGTCAATTAAGTTGCCTACGTATCCCTTATATTGGGAATCAAAGTCCACGTAGTTCTTTCGATTTTACTTACCTGTACACGAGTGGTTGTCTCTAATAGTCATACTCGTCATCTCCTGTTCCGGTTCCACCACTCGTCGTACTCGTAAAATCGATGCGTCATCGTCGTCGTCTGCTTCTTCATCTACGTACATAGCCGTTTGCATCCTTCGTTCGCCCTTTTTCCAATCCATCAACAACATTTGTGCTTGTAGATTTTTGGGCATCAGCCTCAATCGTCGTGCGTCGAGCATATAACCTCCCTCGCTGAAGGCTTGTTCGACCGCAACTGTAGATGCTGGGACGACAAAAATCTCTTGGGCCATCAAGCAAGGAATAGGATATATGCCTTGCATTCTCGACCACCAGTCCAAGACATCGAAATTGAGTGGCGGACTTGGTTCACGAGCAATCGTAAGTATCAAATTCGACGTTAGGTAGTGATCAAGCTCATAGTATCCAGTTCCCTTTGCCCTTTCAGCGCCAGCATTCTTGTAGGGATGTAATGATGCCCACCACTCCTTATAGTTCGAAGCGCCTACTTGACTACCGCCGTAAGAAGAAGACCCGCTGCTGCTGCCCCCGCCGCCACGAACAAATGTGCTGGGAGGTTCACCTTGTGCGATCGCTGTTTCCCTAAACATGTCATACAACAAATTTTTTGCTTGCTCAACGAGCAGCAGTACGTTAGGTTTTTGACTGTATGTCGGGACATCAGTCGGGATTGGGAGTTCATACATATAATTATAGTACATGTTAAGCTGCTCTACCAAGCGAGCTTCACGTACCGAAGGATCACAAACATGCAACTAAATGTGTATCAAGAAAGAAATAATAATATATTAACCATTTCTTTAACATTTCCTCAACTAAATAGCCATATTTATTAAAATTCAAGTCGTAAAGATCCATGAAAGCCCACATTATGGCTATAGCTTGACTTAACACAAGCTGAGCAGTAGGATAATAAACACCAGAAAGCATGTTAGTAGCATTTTGAAATGTTTCTAAAAATTGAATAAGTGCATTACAGTTCTCCCAATCTCTTGTTGACACTCGGACATCACAGTCCTTACGGTTTGAATGGTTAAAAAACAAATTGCAATTGTGTCATAAACGGAACCGTGTCACTCAACATTTTAAATGTTGAGTTCCACCGTTTAGGAACGTCGGGTTGAAATTTTTTAGGTTTCACCCCTTGATCTTTACAAAATCGTCCCCATGCTTTCATTTCATGGGGACGTTTATGTAAATAATTAACAGCATCCCTAATTGGCGTGACCGAATCTTTAAAAGCATGATAACCAGCTTGTACACAGAGATTTAAGACATGACATATACAACGAATATGAAAAAATCTTCCGCCGCAAATTGGAGTGCAAATATCGGTAAGTTCACGTATAGATGCAGTATTTGCAGTAGCATTATCACATGAAATGGAAAACACTTTTTTTATCTATTTGATATTTATCCAAAGTTTTTGAAATTAAACGAGCAATAATAGAAGCAGGGTGTCGTTCATGAAATGCAACATAAGCAATTAAACATTTTTGTAAACTCCAATTTTCATCTATCCAATGACAAGTAATTCCCAAATAGAAATTATTTTGCCAATGATCAGACCAGATATCAACACAAATGGATACTCTATGATTTAAAGATTTAAAAGTTTCTTGCAAAATTACTTTTTTTTTCGCCACTATTTTTCGAATATCGCGAGTAAGAGTAGTACGTGAAACCTGGTGGGCAGTCGGATTCAAATCCATTTGAGAAAAATATTCATATAAATCACTATCACCAAAGCTAAACGGAGGAGATGAAGCAGAAACAAATTCAGCTAAATGGCGTCGATGATTTTCATGTGAGTACTGAAATAAAGATGGCGTACTTGTACCAATCATGGCAGATGCAGCGCTACTACTCGGGAGTTGCGTCTGTGCCCTGTCAATTCCCAATTTTGTCGGATGATTCCTCTCTAAGTGTCATTTCAACGATCCGTACCCGTCGCCTTTTTTGAAATGGTACTGTTTCTTCTCGTTCACCGGGCAGTAGTTGCAAACAGCATAAAAGTGATTCTCACCTCTTGTCGGATTGGACACCTTCGTGTAATGTTGTTTGAATATGGCAGATGTTGGTTTGCCACGGGCGAAGACAGAGGCCGAGTCCGGGACCTCCAAGTCCGGCTGTTGCTGCTGCGTCGGTTGCTGAACCTCCGGTGGGGACTCTCCAAATATATCATCGAAATGGTCGTGATACGGCTGCTGCTGATCTTGTTGCTCAGGATGAATTGAGCCAAACATGCGCTCGATCGTCGCCTCATCAATGCCATCGGCGACACTGGGAATATCCACATATATCGATGGACTCACAAATTCCGGCAATGGAGGTCTCGACGAAGACGTGCTGGTGCCGATATTTCTACGTTACTATCCGGAATTCGATCCACGACCACCACGAGAGCTCGACATTTTATAATTTAAAGAATAAAAAATAAAGTGGAGAAAATTAATATAGAATATGATGATATAAAAAAATAGGAGATGCGGTATTTTTTTTCGGTTTTTTTTTTACAAACCGAACACAAAACTAAAAATGATTAACCGAGCAATGAAAACCGAACACTAAGAGATAGATAGTAGAACACTAGAACTTAGAGAGTAGAGTTAGAGACTTAGGCGGATCGGTGGGGACAAAAATCTGGGCCGTTGGATCACAACGATCTAATGGCCCATATTAATTTTTTTCTTTTTTTAAAAAATTCAGACCGTTGGGCCCGTACCCGGACTGGCCCGATCCGTGGCCCGGGTCGACCCAACGGCTACTAGGTATGGGCAGGCGCGGCTTCTGACAGGTTGTCGGTTCGGTCCAGTTGACCCGGCCCGACCCGGCAAATATAAAAAATATTAAAAAAAAATAGATAGAAACCGTTGCTGGCGGTCGGCCCGTGGCCCGACCCGGCCCGGACCGGACCGCCGGGACCAATTTTTTTTTTTTGAACATGGACTGAACCGCGACCCTTGCGGTTCGGTCCTACGGACCGGCCCTTATATTGCCGGTTACGGGCCGGTCCGGGCCGGTTCGGCCCGTGGACATGTCTACCAGCACCACTCTCTAACTCCTGCCCCTTTGACTTCCACTTGCATACAAAAATCATTAGCCAACAGCTGCCTAACCTCTGTATTTGTATCCCATATCACCAACATACCTCCTCTTGTACCATTAGGTTTCTCCAAGTACCATCTACTCTCAAACCCCAACTTTCTAGTATTAGTAAAAGCCCAAGATTTCTTGGTTTCTGATAAATATTTAATATTTGGGTGGTGGACTCTTTTAGAGTCCTTGATCTGGGAAATTGTAGAGGGCCCACCCAACCCTCTACAATTCCACACCATGGCTTTCATTAGTCACCTCGGGGCCATTTGAGGCTGGCCTTCTCCACTTGAGATTTATCACAATCAGCTTTCAACTTCTTATCTGTACTCTCCTGTTCATGAAACTGCAATCCCTCATCATATACCACCAGTTTTCTATTTCTCTTCAGAGATTTAGTAGTCTTATCCCATTTAGCTACCTCAATATATGGTGAACTTGTTGTGGGCTGCTCAGACATCCTCAGTAACCTGCCTACATTACTATGTTTCCTCTTCTAGGAAGCCACTGGCTTACCTCCTGCAACTACCTTTATCTTCCTCCTAGGTCCCACCTCAGAAACAATATTAGTGTTCAGGCCATGAGTTTCCACCTCCATACGAATTTCTATAGTCTTCTCCACTATGTCATTGATAATTTTCCCAGTTTCTCTTCCAGATGGAATTAGTTCTAACCTCCTGTTATCTTGAGGATTTAAGTTACTCTCCAAATCAGACCCCCTCTCCTGATCTAGCTGCTCCCGAATATCAACAGTCTGAATTTTTTGGATTTTGATGGGTGTAGTACTAGCAGACACAAAAGAGTCTTCATTTGAATGTTGCTGTGTTGGGTTACTCTTACCTTCAGAGCTTCTGGCCTGATAGATCCTCCCTCCATGATAAGTTTCCTCGGCTTTGAGCCATTCTCCAAATTTACATTTAACTAGTGTACCTTTTCTATATCCTCGGATCTGCGCTTACACCCCCTATCAAGATGCCCTATCATCCCACCATAATAACATAAGTTGACATGCCGCTCATAGCGAAATGCAACCAACACCCTTTTCTCTCCCAGTTTGACTACCGTCCATCTGGGGATTGGCTCTTTCAAATTAAGAGTAACAAGAATTTTGATGAAGCTTCCCATTTTCCCTCCTACCTTGCAAATGACCACATTCTTGACTCGATTAAATATCCGCCCAATGCGCATACCCACTTCAGTACTCATCCAGTTAAGAGGGACATTCAACATCTGTACCTAAATATTAATCTCAACAAAACATTTGTGGTAGCTATGAAGCCCAGGAAACCATTTCGTTAAGATAAGATATTGGTTCTCATACTGCCAATTATTTCCCGCTGCAACTTTAACCTTATCCTCTAGAAAAGTGAAAATGAATTGAAAAAAATTAGAGCTCATTTCTTTCACTTCCATCGCTTGTTGCAGCTTCCAGATGCTACTCATGGTACGCTTAATGCCCGTTATGCCCGCCGGACGATCACCAACAACTTTGCCGAACAGGATCCGCTCACATTCTTCTTCGCTGGTTTTGACATCATTCACCTACAACTCAATTTCACTAGCTTCCTTGACCGATAACGAGCATGACTGCAGCTTCCTTAAGACATTTTCCCCCAAATCACCGCTAATGTCGCGACCCCCAACTCTATCTCCCATATCTGATAGGACTCCAATAGACGCCCTAAGACCCAAAAAAAAAACCATAGAAATGACCCAACACAGTATCCTCACTCACGTAAATAGAAATTGAACAAGATCCCCTCAACGAGAGAATTTTGCTCTCAACAAGAGAATTGAAGATGATTATTCACAAGATTCAGTTTGAATCCTTAAATTTCATATATATTAATCTCTAATTTGGTGCAGTTAATCTCCAACTTGCCCTTTATTTAATAATTTGTCCCACATTTTCATCTCTTCTCTTAGTAAGAGCATGTTTGTTAAGGGAGACGGGACAAGATTAGGGTGATTATCTGGGCAAAATCCTACAGTTGATTACCATGATTACGAACCGGGAGATTGGATGAGGCCCGCGATGAACAGTAGAGAAATCATGCTAGATCTGCTCTAGGGGGTTGTGATTCAGACAAGTCCCAACAGTGGAAGAATTGACAATGTCTCATTTGCCCCTAAAAGTGAATTATCGGACTAAAGTGCCCTCAGTCAACAGAGAAAATACAACATGCCACTACCATCTACATAATGGCAATAGTGGACATTAATTAACCTTCTATTGCAGTGAAGATCTTTGTTCCTCGGCCGCGCGTCTTCAAATTTAGATCTGCTTGTGAAATCGCCTGTTCGAGTGAAGTTATTGGTTTCCTCTGTATCACCCGTGCACTATTACATGATATCTCCGTTAATTTTGTATTTGTTTTTTCCGTAATTTATATGTTAGTTAATTGGTTTTTTTTTTTTTTTTGTTATTTTTTATTTTTCATTATTAATTTTTTTACCCAATTTGTGCTTAGATGATGAAGTGTACAACACGAGGGCGAGAAAAAGTGAGGGCACCTTCGACATTAGAGTCCTTTTTTGCCGGAGCACGGTAATGAAATGGGTATTTTGTTAATCTTTAAATGTGGGCTATATGTCTTTTTTTGGTGTGTTTGTGATTCTAAATAGTAGAAATAGGGGTGTAAAAATTATGATATTATTGAGGTGATTATGGACTATATGTATATATAGCCATCTGTTGTGTTATGTTGACATGAGATTTTTCCCAAATGAACGTTAAGCCTTGGTGTGTTCTCATCTCTTCACATACTGCTGCTGCACGAGTTTGATGTTTTTTTGCATTGGAGTCCATTAGTACTGAAATACATATAATGCGGTATTTTATACAAAATCATTTAACGCTGCATATTTATTTACTAATTTTTGTAGCCATGGACATTGAAATGGATGAAGTCGAAATTCTTTTGATCGTTGAGGATATAACGAATATATTGACCATTGTGTTTTTTATTGCCATTTTGTACATGAAAATTGTGAGGCAAAAAAAACGTCTTCTTAGAATTCCAGAGCAAAATGGACGGGCTTTCTTCAAAATGTCAGATCGACTACCTAGGCAGTTGCAACATATGTAGGAGCTTATATGCATTAGTGACAGAATATGTGTCCAACAACCACGTATGGACAGAAATTACTTCGGTCGGTTATGCTATCTTTTGGAGCATGTTGGTAAACTACAGAGTAGTCGAAATGTGCAGATCAGTAAGTGGCCATTTTCTTCAGTGTCTTAAGCAATCATAAGAAAAACGCAGTGGTCAAATATGATTTTAAGCGGTCCAGTCAAACTATTAGCAAAATTTTTCATGTAGTACTTAGAGCTCTACTACGCTTACACCCGCTTTTCGTCGTACAACCTAAACCTATTCAGGATTTGAACAATTACTGGAGATGGAAATGGTTTAAGGTTAGTATTTAATAAATAATGAACAAATGAAAAAATTTGATAACGCATGTAATGTTTTTTGATTGTTCTCCTTTTTTTTTTTTTAATTATGCCATCCAGGGATGCTTGGGAGCATTAGATGGAACATATGTTACGGTACGCGTTTCTAGTAATTTGCACCCGAAGTACCGAAATGGAAAGGGTAGAGTTTCTATAAACGTCTTAGGCGTATGTGATGTGGATATGAACTTTCCTTACATCTTGGCCGGTTGGGAAGGGTCTGCTGCAGACAGTAGAGTTTCAAGGGACGCGGTACGGCGAGATGGTGGGTTACGTGTTCCTACGGGTGAGACCCTTTACTTAAGTGGATATGAACTTTAAATAACTTTCACTAGGGTTCGTAGACATTAATTATAATTTTGAATTCAAAACTCTATTGAATAGTTATTTCGGTTTGTTGGCTTCACATGTAATTACTATCTTTGCGATGGTGGGTACACAAATGGTCCGTGATTTCTAGCACCATTTAGGGGTGTGCGGTATCATTTGCATGAATTCGGTGAAGGTCCTCGAGCACCTAGAAATGATAGGGAATTATTTAACCTTAGACACGCTACAGCAAGAAACGTAATTGAACGGGCCTTTGGAGTGTTGAAAATGAGATGGGCCGTCCTTAGAAGTAAAACCTTTTTCGACATAGTCACTCAAAATAGAGTGATTTTGGCGTGTTGCCTTCTTCAAAACTTCATTCGTACTACAATGAATATTGATCCAGTGGATGGTGACGATGATGATTTAGAAATGGAGTCAAATGCGGAGGAACCAATACACCCACCAAATGACTATGTTGATGTGGTTGAGTGATACGTGAGAAATCTTGTATTATTTTGTGAGCTAATTTGCATATTTGAGTATTTGATTTAAGTGTATTATTCAAGTTTTCTCACGTATTTTACTTTGTGAACGGACGTACACCAATATTCGAATTTTATGTCTATTTTGCAATTTAGAGATTATTTGATGATATGGCTATTGGTGAGGTGGCAAATTAAGTGGGCACGGTTGTTACTTGTAATTTTGTATGGGGCTCTCAAATTATTTGGAGGGATTTTTTTATTAGTAAGTATTCTTATTGGTTGGGGGATGGAGAATTTAATGGCAAATGGACTCTAAATATATTGGGATTGTGATTTGACCGAGGGAATTAATTGGAGGAATTCAAAGTTTGTGGGACTTTCATCCTATGGACTTGCGTGGCATAAAACAAAAAGGGAGGAAATTAATTCATCTAGCAAAAACTTGGAGTACGGGAACAGAGAGCAGAACGTGCTTGCTGGGACTAAGGCGAGGTGAACAATGGAGTACACATGAGATAAAATCAATTTGATGCTGGAATTGATTAAGGATTAAGGGAGTTTGACTTTTGATTTATATGTTTTATTCTACTTTTATTAAAAACCATGGATTATTATTTTTGTTTTTATTATTTAGCTATGCATAGCTAAACACTTATCTCAGTTCTAGGGACGTTGAACCCTCGATGACTATGTTTGATTAATGCTATTTATCTCATTTTATTAGTCGTATAAAATTGTTTGTGTTATTCTAGTTACATGCCATAATATGTGTTCTTTAATTTAGCTTGATCACCTAAGTTGAGGATTGCATGTTAATTGCTAGATTTAAGGCTTCGATCCATAATTGTCGTCGCTCTTAATCATTTCTAGCAACTAATAGTCGTGCATAGGGATAACACAACATAATTTACATGAACCGAGGTCATGTGTTTGTGGCTTAGATCGGTCTATTTTTCTAGATTCTAATGCAACTAGTGGATTGAATTAGGAGAGCTTATTCCGAGTTGTTCGCTAGTTAGATTTAATTGAAGAGCATATTTCGATTAAGTAAAAATAAGGAAAAATTTGGGTAGCAGAGCTTATTGCTATCTACGACTGGTAGTTTTAAAAGACGAGTGAGATTTGATAAATGCATTAATTGGACTAGTTATTCGAGGCCTGGGGCCGATTTCATTCTCCTATTCACTAGATTACTTATTTATTTTCTATTTCATCATCATTTGCACTTTACTCATTCATCTTTAGTTCTAGTTTTATTTCTTGTTTCGTTAGTAGATTCGTTTTTAATCAAACCCCCCCCCCCTTTTACTTTAATCTAATTAATATAATAAAATCACAGTTTATACCACACTCCCTCTGGGATCGACCCTTGCTTGCCACTACTACTAGTTAGTAGGGGTTAGACGAGGAGAATTTATAAATCTAAATTTGCCGTGTAACGACACGCGGTTATTGAGCCTACTAACGAGTGGACTACTTAGAGGGAAACACTAGCTATGTCAATGTTCAACGAGTGGCGTGGCAAGAATTGAATTTGTGTTCATCCTTTTTGTTTATTTTCTTTGTTTCGTTGGACGGTTTATGTTGTCTATGTGGAGCACTTTGATGCATTATGAAATGTAGTTGCGTACACTTGTTTTATATGGAAATACATTCATGTTTCAAGCACCTGAATTAATGTGTTTTTTTCTATCTTCGAAGGTCATTCTCTTCCATTTATCGTTACTTCATGTATGTTACAAATGTTGTACTAATTATGATTTAGTATTTAAAATTTACTAGAAATGGACTCTACAACTAGCGTGGGACGTGGGCCAAACGTAAACAATCAACGGCAAATTTGGACGTTTGAAGAAGAACGTGCATTAATCCAAGGATTAAAGAAGCTCATTGCCCGTGAAATGAAAGCCGGCAATGGGTTCCGTTCGGGGTACACAGTGTTTTTAGAACATTATATGCAGCAACAGTTTTCGGGGACTACAATTAGAGCGGAGCCTCACATCTCGTCGAACATTACAGTATGGAAAAAAACTATGTTTTACTTGCACCATTGCTTCAAAACACTTCCGGTGTTGGGTGGTCTGAATCCGGCCACATACTAGAAGTAGAAGAGCCCGTGTGGAACGGTTTTGTGAAGGTTTGCAATAATCATCAACTAATATCCTCTTTCTTCACTAAATTTTTTCTCCGTTCCCTTATGTAAATTATTTCTTATTTTGGCAACTGCACACAATCAAACATTGTATGCATGCAGGTGTACCCAAAAGAGAAGGGATGGCGCAACAAGTCTTGGCCCTTTTACAGTGATTGGGTCGACATTTTTGGAAAGGACCGCGCAACAGGTGAAGGTGCTGAAGGTTTCGCAGATGCGGTGCAAGAAGTACTAAGTAATACTGGTGACGATGCCCCCGCACAAAATGTAAAGCGTGGTGGGGTTTGTGGTGACTTGGAATTCAATGAGAATGAAATTGAGTCATCTCCGCCACAGGGTGTTGAGAGTAGTGCATTCGAGAAGGGTAAACGGGTAGGCAAACGTAAACGTGTTAAAGATGCGGAGGTTGAAGTGGTGGGCCTACTGTCTACTTTATGCAAGAAAGCCGATCAACGTTGGGGTCAAATGGTGGAACATATTGGGGTCCAGCACGAGGCGAAGGAGCAACGAAAACATTTGTACGAGGATCGTAACAAAGTACTTTTGTAGGAACAAAGAAGCGATGAACGTTTTTTTTAGCGTCAGCGAACAGGACAAAGCTTCAATGGTGAAGATGATCCTCGAAAATAATTGTAATTTGGAATGATGAATGCTCTAAAACTTGGGCGAGCTTCTATTGTCTTTTGTTAGTGTTGCCCGTACTATGCCTTTTACTTTGGACGGCCGGAAAATTTGGCCTACTTTTGGACTTCTGTTATGTTATGATATCCCAGGATTTGTAATATAATTTTTGCCACTCATGCTCCCAATGTTTTGACATATTTATGCTTGTGGACTTGTACTTTCCGCTTTACTAGTGAAAAAACCAACTCTTTTTAACCCGGTTATTGTTTTTTTCCCGGTTCGTGGTACTTCCGATTAATGATTTCAACACCGTACCGAACCGTACAGTACAGCCGGTAATACCGGATATCGCCCATTGGTACGGTACTAATTCACTCAAAATACCGAATTTACGGTTATACCTGTTTGTACCGGAATCAAACCGTAAATACCGGTGAATAATAAAAAAAAAATAAATAAATAAACAAAGAAACTATAAAAGTTAAAATGGTAAGTTACAATGTTTTTATTTTTATGCCATTCAGAAGTTCAAATTAATGATTACGGTTATTTTTTTTGTTTCTTTTTTGGATTTGGTTGTATTATATATTTTTATGTATATTTATATATATCATTATGTTTACTAGTCCGGTAATACCATCGTTATTACCTGTTCGACCGGTAATACCGCTGATATTAGCTGTCCGACCGGTAAAAAACAAAAAAAGTTACATCAAAAATAATTCTTTTTATAAATGTTTGAAGCCTACATTATTTCATCTTTCATGGAACATACTGCAAATAGCAAAACACCCAAAATTTCAATTGTTGTATATATAAATATGTGTACAAATATTCGTGAGTCAGATAACCGCACATTCTTCTATTCAGCCACATTTTCATAACACACCATTTGTCCGCACATAAAAAAAGAGAAGAAAACTACATTGTACTTCCTTTTTTTATACCATCCACACAACATCATGTACAAAACTAAATTAGTGGCAACAAAATTAATAAACCTACAACCACCGCCCCCCCTAACTTCCACTCCCATAATCAATTGCCATCATTAAAAAAGAGATGTTTTAGTGTAATACACCATCAGCCAACATTAAGTGACTTATTCAATTACACCTACCAAATTTACTATACCACACTGTCACTTCTCCTTATTTATTTGCATGAGGTAATTGGATAAGGGAGGTCAACTCCATTTTGGGGGAAAAAAAATCAATACCAAGTAAAAGAAACTGAACAGACGAGTTTCATATTCAGTGTACTGCATCCGAAAAATTAAATTCTTTTGCTTCTATTACAGGTTCCTTCATCGTAAGATTAATCCAATGGATCGTCATGAAAGCATGCCACGTATTGTGGAGAGGTATTGTCGCCCCAGTTGGTCACCGAATGAGGAAAGGGAGTGCTATCGGCTTTTCTTCAACATTTGTTGTGAAACTCCCGACGTGAACGTACCTGCCGTCTTCAACTCCATATGGCCACACCTTTTGATACAACTGACCGAAGAGATGCTAACATATTTCTCCATGCTGAAGGTTAAGGCTAAGATCAAGGCTCTGCACACCTACTTCTGATAGTTCCTCACATTTCTTGGGACTCCCGCTGTGGAGGTGCATGCGGAATCAGGTCTTGTCACTGTAACTCCTACATACTGGGCATACGTCGGTCGGGTTTGTTTTACATACTCATGTGCATTACTATTGTATACCTTCCTAAGCTTTTATAAAATTCTTTGGTTCATGCATGCATGCAATGTGTAGGCAAATGTAGGCTGGCTACAAATTTGTATTCATTTTTTACTTTAATTGACAACTTTCACTTCATAGGAAATGAATTTGGAATACTTTTTCCGTCATGTTGGGTTCCCATGGTACAAAGAGTGTGTGGAGCTGTGGGATCTTAGAGATGCGGCTAGTGTGCACATGGAGCTCGGTGAAAGAGTCCATGAGCCCATCATGTTTGACGACACGGATGAGGAAATTGTTGCTGCCGATGACCCCAACGGGGCAAACGGTGCTGACTTGGATTTTAGGAATGACGAGGGTGTCGGGGCTGCCGGGCTAGAGTACATGAACAACGGCGCCAATAATGTGCATGAACTTGATGATGACGTGGAAGTGGAGGAACATTATAGATCTCGACACAGACGTCGTCTCCTGCGTTGACTTAAAGTAGATATAAGTCAAGGTCTTATTATGTTTTTGCATTATGTATGGCTTAATTAATAGTATATGGTCCGTCCAGACTTGAACTCTGTTTTGGTTTTTTCTTGGTGTCTTAAAGGTAAAAGTTCTCTAAGTTGTATGGGTTATGTTGTATGAGTAAGTGGCATCATTTTGTATGTACTATATGGCCAAAGTCCGTATGTTTTCTATCTAAGTATGACTATTTTCCTCATGCCTTTTTTGGTTAAATGAAGTATACATATTTATCTTATATTTTCTACTTTGGGCAAGAGTTTATTGAAACTATTCTCAACAAACCATCCATTTGAACTCCCAAGTTTGAGATCCCAACTTAGAGAAACTAAACAGAAATTGAATGTCTTTAACTTAACACAAAACTATCAAAAAGGTTGGGCCAGTTATGTGTATTGTTACAGAACGTGGTATTGCCATTTCTTAGGCCGATTTAATTGAGAAAGAAATCATGTCCACTTAAACCAACAAAATAAAATTCATTCTCCAATATGGAAGACAGAAAACATTTTGCATTCAACGTTAGGTAGGCATAGTTCAAATAAACGTCAATAAACAAGGTACATAAAAACATCTTCAACCATAGTTTATCTGCGTTACACCACAATACACATAAAACACTAAAGCACATGGAATACATATATTGGGCGCATAATCAGTTCTAAATAGTAACATGCGTGACACTTCAAACGTGAGGATCACTAGTCGAACACCCTTGTATGAAGCCGAGTCTGGCTTGTGCGGTGGACGTGGGATGCGCAATGGGGTTCGACTGCCCGCCCTATTTATTATGACATGGGCATGCGTGTTGACGGAGCTTTCAGAAGAGGCGTTGTGCGGTTCACCGTGTTGGGGAGGAGCGTTGTTGCGACTACAACGCGTTTGCAAAGCACTGTGATAGGAATTGTCCGAAGCCACATTTGTTCGTGCAACAGGGAGAGCAAAAAAAAAAAAAAAAGCTTCGTTTGTAGAGTTGCGGTCATGAACAACTTCAGATCTTGGATTTGTAGAATACACCTCCTCGAACATGAAACGCAAGTCCGCCCAGCGTGGGTCACCGGAATGTTGATAAGCAACGCTAAAAGCGTCAAACTAAAATAACTCAAAAAATCTTTCAGTCGTGTATAAAAATTGGATTTTGTAATATTTACATAAATTTAAAATATGAAAGCATTAGTAGTCAATGACAATCTGAGTGACCACCACAAAAAAAATATTAACTGAACCGGTACCTCAAAGACATCGTCCCAAACGGCAACCGGAGCGGTCAGGATATTCGATTGAACGCAGTGACGCAAACCGGGCTTTCCTAGCATCCAACTAAAAACTTGGTACCACTTTCAAAGAAAGTCGAATCTCTCATCAAATTCATCATGACTATAAATAAGTTTGAGCTTGCCAATGAAAACAGAGCGGCATTAATCGAAAACTGCAAGCCCGGAACGACCATTGTTCCACTTCCCAAGAACATGCGACTCTATTAGCAAGTCAACGAAAAGATTGTCGGCCTGTTTTGTCCAACGACGATCGTACAAGCATTCATCTTGCGTTATAGGGGTGGAAATGCGAGACATTGTGTTTGGATTGAACCGAGAAAGAAAAAATTAAGAACAAGTGAAGTGAACCGAGAAAGAAATAATTAAGAACAAGGGAAGGCGAGGCATCAGCTCATGAGGATGTGTTATGGTTTTATAGTGAAAATTTTTCTACAACTGCGTCAACACACATTGGATTCCATCTAAACAAAAAAAAAAAAAAATNAAAAATACCTCTTTTGTACGCCAATTGTATTGTAATTCCCCGTTCGGATATCGAATTTTTTCGAATTATTTTAATTAATGTCATTTTATTTTATTATTTCTATGTCTTGATTATGTGATTATATATTATATTATTATGTGGATAATATAATTTTATAAGTCGTTCGGGTTTATTTTTTCGTTCGTCATTCGAATTTTCGGTCTAATCGCGTAAGCCGAATTGTTGTCCATTTTATTTTATTTTCTAACCTTCGTGAACTAAACCTCAAACCGACTTGTTCCATCCATTATATGGTGGCCTTCGGCCCTTTCATTTGATTGAAAAACCAGCCCTAATCGAAAAATCGAACCCGCCCCCTTGCATACCCTAAATTGGAGTGATTTTGATTTTGAATTTCAAATTATTTCTAAGGCATTTAGATAAGATCTTTGACCATACCCCCTCTCTTTTGATTTCACACCATCGACCCCTTAAATTGTTCAAAGCATCCCTTAATTTGAGCCAAAGGGATCTCCGCTCATAGTAAATATTTATCCCTCCTATTAATCCCTCACATCACACAACATTGCTTCTCTTCATTCTCCCAAACCCATCTCTTCTTTTTCTTTTATCCTCCATGCGAAAAACAGAGGAAAAACCTCCCCAAATCCGATCAAGTCCATCACTTCCACTTAAATTCCCGTCGGCGATCCCTTCCACGCAAGCAGCAACGATCGAGCCTCTCCGATCCTTGTTCGTGAACGACGAGGACCAGCAAGAACGATCGAGCCTCTCCGATCCTTGTTCGTGGCCATATCGACCAGCAAGAACGATCCCCGCTCGCTGCCGCTACCCCCATGCGCATGCGCTCGAGCCGCGAGCTGAGCTCCGCCACCGAGCGCTCGTGTCCAGCCCCCTTTCTTGTTTACGCCTCTCCCCTTTGGAGTACGACAATAGGTGTGTGTCGAGTCGAGCTCGCATCCCTATCATCTTGTCGTGCTATTTCTCCTGCTGTTTCCAGCCTGTCAATGTGAGCTGTTTCGGTCGTCGGCACGGTTATCCCCGTCGATGTAATATGGTGCCTAATAAAAGGCAATCTTCTTAAGACCTAATGAAAGGCCATGTCGTTGGTAATGTTGAGGCCCTCGACATGTACTTCCACTGTTGGGTAATGAATCTCCTTCTGTGGCTAATGAAAGATATGTACATAGGAGTATGATGTGATTTGGAGTATGATATTTGATTGATTCATGTTCATGCTGCGACCATACCTATCTGTCATCTATATTCTGTTTATTTGCATAGTAGTGAGCAAGTTGATTGTGCTCACTCCCATGAAACTACCATTTCAAGTTGAGCAGGTGGCAGGCATGACAGCGAGGGGACGAGTGGCTGGTCCTTATTTATGTCTATTGACTTCCGCTATTTTCATGAACATGTTGAATTGGTAGTATGAACCTGCTGCTTTGGTTTATGAACATGTTGAATTGCTTTCAAACTATATTGTTTCAAAAATGTTGAATTTGTGGATTGGTTTTTGAACCCTATGAGATAGTTTGTTCCTTTATGGATCATGTTGAATTGATTATTCATGCTAATATGCTTCGTTGAATATCATGTTGATATGTTTACTTTGGAATGATGAAATCCATGTGAAAAACCGGATAATGAATCCCCGTGAGTTCAGGTACGAATTGAACTATGTTGTAAAATGATACGAATTGAACTATGTTGGAATCAAAAAATGAATTTCGAAAATTTATTGTGATTTTTGGAAAAGCCATGGATTTTCTTAAAATTCAAAGTGGGGTGTGACATGTATAGTCAATAAGGGGCATGATGGTAAAAGAATATTTCATGTGTTGCAAGTCTTTAAGAGCCGCAGAAACCAACCATCCATTGTGCAACTTTGTCTTCATGTACGAACACCCCTACATATAATGTGTGATTGATTGACAGATAAGGAAAAGGGAAGGAAAAAGGATCACGGGGTAAGAAAGCTGATATTTTTGTTCTACTTTCGCATGATTAATGGTTTGAAGAAGATATTGTAAAATCTGTTCATAAGTTTGAAATGGAAAAAACGAAATGGCATGTTCTTAACTTGACCGCATGCATAAATTACGAACACAAAATTAACACAGAACGCGGCATGCAGCAAAAAAAAAAGTACGAACAAAAATACTACACTAAACACGGCCATGCAAATAAATTATATTAAAAAAATATTCAAATAAAAAGAAAAAAATAACAGTATTACGTGTACGAAGAAATGATATCCATGCAAATCAATGTAGGGGCCAAATATGTAATTTTTTCTTGTTATCATAATTTGGATCTAGGATATCAAACAAAAAACACATTTTAAAACAATAATCTCAACTTGCATTGATCAAGGATAACAAACACGAGATGATTCTTATCTCTACACCCCAATCTTGTGTCCAAAGATTAAAATTATCTAATCATGTCTAAGGAAACTAACATGCTCTGATAGTAATAATAATTCAATCTGCTATTTTTTTAACAAGAAGTATTCAATCTTGTGCATCAGATATAAATAAAGTATTATAAGTTATTTGTATGCATACAATATTATAATTAGAAGTTAGATAATGATATTATATTTTAAACATAGAGTATTATGACTTATATTTATGCATATAATATTCAAAATTATAATTTAGATAAAGGTATTATGTTTTAAAATTCGATCGCTGGTTAAAATAAATAGTACTAACTATTTGATTGCATATAAATCACTTTATGGATTGCATATGAATCACTGTATTGATTGCATAACTATAATAAATAATGTAATTTTTGTAATTTTGAGTGACCATGACCAATTAATTAGCTAAAAAATATTAAATTTATTATAACAATGGCTTATGCAATTTTAAGGAATTTTACAATGACACTAAAACATATTAATTTATTTAAGAAACAATCGCTTAATCAGATAAAAAAATATAATATTAATTTTAAAATAAACTTGAACAAAAAGTTTTTACAATATAATTTTTTATATTTATGTAACTTTATTATATCATTTATTGTAAAACTTAATTATTAATTTTAATAATAACTATTATATGATACAATAAAAGATATAATTATTACTCATTTAATATAAAATATAATATTTTTGTCATAATTAAACCAAAAGCGAAAGGAAATATTTTTATCACTATGAATTGGATATATAATATGGAGGTTTATTTGTATCTAACATAGAACTCAACTCTGATATAAGAAAAGAGAATTTTCTATATTTTTTATAATTTATGATTCTAAGATCTCGATAATTTTATATATATGGACTTGCAATTGAAATAAGTTTTCTTGCATTTTCAATTAATAATTTAATATCAAGAATCATTCTATTTGTTAGGTGTTGTTGTGGATTGGAGGATGACCATTCTTTTAGATGGGGCAACCAAATGCTTGACGAACCCACCATTTTTAACGGGTCCACCGAAGTCCACTTTGAACCTGCCCTGGACTGCCAACATAAAAATTAATTATAATAATAAAAATTGGAAGTCATTAGTTAGGGAAACTTTAATAATACAAACAACAGACCTCGTTTCTCTATTCCCAATGTGTCAGATTAGCCAAAAACTTCATTTTTACTCTTACAACGACAAACATCTTATAACCATAAACCTCTGAATTTATGGATCCCACATGTCTCTCACTTGCTTTATCTTTATTTTATACTTTCATATATTAATTAATATTTTACCCCAACCTCTACTCATTATTTTAAACCAAGATTTTTATCATAAATTTTATATTTTTATTTAAAAAGTAATATTACATTTTAGTTAGAAAAATGGGGTACTTGTACAATTTTGAATAAAGAAAAAAGATACATATGATTGCATGTAGAAGTTACGATGAAATAAAATATAAAGTATTCAAATTAGTACTCTTTTTAGTTAGGTTCATTTTAATGTGTTCAACTAGGTCGTTGTCCAACTAGGTCGTTCCTCAGTTGATGATGGACATGTCGTTCTTGCATCTCAACTCTTATTTGTAAGTACCGACGGAAATTTTCTAGATGGCCTTGTTGTGCTTCGACTGGCGACTCAGCGTCATCACTGGACCATTTTGTTGCCTCATCACCCTCGTCCTTAATTATCTTATTATGTAAAATAATACATGATAATATTATTTCATTAAGATCTTATTTATATTGAAAATGAGTCGGACCACGTACGATTACCCATCTTGGCTGTAGCACCCCAAAAGTACGCTCAACATCTTTCCTTGAAGCCTCTTGCAGTTGCTTGATCTTTTTTCTTTTTGGATCCTCTGGGCACTAGAAGCTCTTGACAAACGTTTCTCATTCCAGATAGATACCATCCGCTAAATAATATCCTTTATTATATTAGCTTTCATTCACGGTAAAATTTACATCAGATGTTACCCCGTGTAAGATATCGTTAAATAATGAAGACTCGTGCAATACATTAATAACATATCGTGACCCAACAAGTTCGAAAAAGGCATGCTAGATCCACAAGTATTGTGGGGCCACTTCTTCATGCATTATCGTGGTTACTCAATAACCCTGTC